TTAATTTAGGCGAGACATCGATGTAACGTTCCTCACTCGTTCGTACCGACAAAACATCGTGCGTGTAACTAGAAAATATCTACGGTGTTCGGGAGCATTATTATTTTAGTCGAATAATACTGTTCGTGATTGACGCGCGTCGCGCGGTGAGAACGTTTCGCGAGAGACAATCGCGTTTTCGTAAACGGGACGCTCCGTTTAACCTGATCGTTCTGATGTGTCTCGATTTTTAGACAGGAAAAAAGAGCAGTAATCTTCAACGTAAATTTCTCTTATCGCAGTCGATACCAAATAAATGTATACTTCTTTCCTCGTTAATGGAAGAATATTAGCGGAAATTAAATGTTCATTTCGATTGGCTGTACTATGAATGGAAGACGTTTCGTGGTTGTAACTTCTATTAAAAAAAAATTGTAGTATCCTACTAGCTTCTCCTCAAACTTAGATATTAAAGATGTAAACAGTACGATCAAGTATTCCATCCAACAAAAATTCTGAATCCCCAGATTCTTCATCGTGTTCACCTACTTCTCGCACGATATTCGAGCAGTGCAGTATCTATTGAAAACCTTTGGAACGATCAAATCAAACGGAAACAACCCGGTAAATAGGAGTGAATGTAACAAAAGTTCGTTGTTCCTGGGTATATCGATCGGTCGCGCCGCGCGATCGCGCGCAGAAACGTGTAAAAAGGTGAGCACTCGGTTGCCATCCGGACGAGTCTTGTCGGTTCGTCGAAATATACTCCCGACGCGTTAGAATCACAGTGTCGCTGTGTTCGGAGATTGGTCGGACACGGTTCCGGAAAACGCGGGATTTGGCAAAGTATGTGTTCAGACGACGGTCGTCCACTTACCTGAGCCGCCGCGAGGCCCTCCGTGACTCGCCCCGGAGAAAAAGTGTTCATACAAACTTGCACGCGCCACGCTACCACACGTGTATAACGCTACTACAAAAGTTCGACAGATAAAAAGACACCTGGGAACACCACCGACCCCGGTGTCGCATGATCTTTACATAGAATCAATTAATCCTAAACACGAAAGCGATCGTCCGTCGCTTCATCTGGGACAACGTCCGGCCTCCGTCAGAAAACGGAAGTCCCAGCGCTACTTTGGAAAAGATCCGCACAGGTTCAGCAATCGGTGGAGTCGGACTCTACTCCAAAGTATCCTTTAGGATCCTTCAAGAGCCATCGTTCAGCTCTGCGTACATCTATCAAGATATCTTCGAGACACCTTGACCCATCCTCTAAACAAGGATCATCTACATTTACAAATTACACGATCGTTAGCTTTCCGTGTCTAGCTGGACCTAACCACGACTGAACGATCCAACTTCAGCGACAAAAGAAGCTCTCCGTATCTCTGAAAATGCCTCTTGGTTTCTCTAGAGTTCCTCTGACAGGGCGATCGGTGCCCTGGAGCCAGGCTTCAGGTCCTTCACGCCTATTCCAATGTCGTCGACCGGCACAGGTGCCAGCTTCAGCTGATTACCGTTCAGCTTAATGTCGTTCACCGAATGGGACCGTCCATGAGTGACAAGTGGCTTGGCTGTTTGGTTCGTGCTGGTGTTCGAGTTGGAACTGCTGACAGAGTTGTTGCTGGGACTGGTCGCCGGGTTCGAGCTAGAGGTGCAGTTCGCCGTGGTGCTCGAGCCGGAACTCGAGTTCGAGTTCACGTCCTGCGGAGGACTCGGGATCTGGATCATCGGACTGGGAATGGACGACTTGGACCTTGGCTTCAGTTTCGCGTTGCTGCACGAGTTCAAGCCTGGCCCCGTGGCTGGAAGTTGGTCCGGATCCCGGCCGAGCTCACTCGCGGAGTCCGGCGACGCTGGTAGCTTGGTAGTCCCTGGTGATTTCGTCGAGTACGATATCAACTGGTTCGCGGACTGCGATCGAACCGTGTGACCGCCTACCTTGTCCCTCAGCGCCATTTGGTAAGCCACCTCGAAGGCTTGACCTAGGGTCAGAATCACCTCTGTCGCTTGGTCCTGCAACAGGCAAGCCGGGGCTTCGTATGCTTCTTCAGGGGAATTAGGGCCTCCGGTTTGAAGGCGGAAGAACAATAGGGGATGGGAAGCTAGATGCTGGTAGTTAAGTTTGTTTATATTGTTTTGGGATGCAACTGCGAGTGGCTTTGATGCGCTGGGTTGGAACTTGTGGAACGTCCGATTATTTATTTTATTCGTTAAACGTGATTACCTAATGGACATTATTATGGCCAAATGTATCTTGAAGTGAGATTCATTTAGGTTTCGGCGTATTTTTGGAAAGTGGTTTTCACTGAATGTTTCTTAATGAGTCTTCTGTTTTCAAATGGTAAACGGCGAGTTAAAGAAGCTGTACTATTAACCCTTTGCACTGGAAAGGCGACTACCAGATGATTTGATACAGCAAAATCATAAACTTTGGTATTTACCATCAACTTTTATATACTGCATTAATACGTGAAATATTGAAAGAAAATAGGTTTCTTCCCTAATTTATGTGTGATCTATCGATAAATTCATTTTACAGAATCTTGTCTACAGCTAATTAGAAAGTATAGAGTACTTCAAGTGGAAACTTTCGACTGCAAAGGGTTAATAGTGAATAAATAGTGAATAAATTTTCAGTGAAACGACAGGTGGACAATTGTAAACAAAACATGAAATTCTGGAGTTTGTATTACCTAGAAACTTAATTTTATATTCACTTAATACTAAACAATGACAATAAAATTTATATATTAATGTCTGTATTATATATTGGAGGTGATGATGAAAATGTGATTGTTCATGAAAGCACATAATAACGAACTTACCATTGTTGGCACACAGAAGACGTGACAAAAATGTGTCCGGCTGTCATGGTCCTTGGTGATGTACGCGAAATGGGTAAGATCGTCGGCGTCCTGGCAGGCGCAGTGAATGTTGCGTATTTCGTGCACGCAAATGAGCTCCTATCGGTTTGTATCATTCCAAATGCAAATTTACACGTGGCGAATATATTATGTTTCAATGTTAATCCTTTACAACAGTGGAATTGTGTGAATTCTACAAGTATTGAGAAAACAAAGCTGTATCCATTCTAATTCCTAACTATAAAATAATTTTGAAAAATTTTATATAATTGACTATTCGATATTCTTCGAATTGACATTAAAGCATGCGAATGACAATTGCATTAATAATACTAATAATATTATAGTACAATATATTATAATAATTTTATTGAAATCATCGACAATAATCATTTCTACTGGAATTGAGAATGTAATACAATAATAGTATAAATAAAGAAATATTAGAATTATCAGATATTATTTGTAATATAAATAATAAACTGTCATAAAGGATTAACAGCAATGCCGGATAATTTCACTCGAGGAGGATATCTTACGTTTGTAACTGTATTCAGAAAACGGACACCGCGATAAGAAATGGCCAAAGTGATGTCAGGAGTGACTCTGGGCTCCCGACACGTTTTCTTCAACTTCTGTATAGACTTCTTTGTAGACTCGGTGCCACGCAGCTCTTTCACGAAAGTGGAGCCCAGATACTGTGTAATTTTAGAACAGAAAACAACTTGTCTCGTGAAATAGGAAGTAAATCACTGAACATTAAACTTCATGAAAACTTTCGTTCAGCTCACATAGTCATTGCTAACATGGAAATGTGAATGTTGAATCTCAAAAAGTTAATTCTTCTTTTGTAAGATATATAAATATCTCTATAACATATTTCTTTCGCAGCAGTACGTGGAACAAAATTCTTATTCAGATAAATACATCCTGTATGCGGGATGTATTCATTGAATTGCGGCACCAAAAATTCATTTCGAGCCACATTGATAACAGCAAATCAATACAAACATAGATAAGTAATGAAAGAAGGGAAAGTAAATTTGTTAAAATTTAACGTCTATACTTCTATTGTAAATATACACAAAAGAACATTTAAAATACAGACTTTAAGGAATCAATGTTAACTATCGACTTCATCTAAAACAATTAAACATAAAAACCGTATTTCATTTACTTCCTCTCCTGTTTATGTCCCAATTATTTCCTTTCCTCCAAAATTCCTCCACTTTCAACGTCGGTCTTTATTCAAAATCATTAAACTCTACCCAATATATTCCACTTCAACATTCGCCGATATAAATCCATTCCCAAACCCTCCAAACATTTCATAGCTCCTACATCGGTAACCGCGCACTATTATCTCATAACAAGCTGCTCGATAAACCGTGAACCATGGTTAAACAGCGAAATATTCCCGTGGATGGTCCAAGTATCGAAGAACGTTCGGCCAGAAATATCGGGGGTGGAGATGCACCGATAACGAGCCAAAGAAAAACAATTATACTCACATTGGCGACGTACGTGACGCAGCCGGTGACTAGAGCTTTTGGCTGGTGCCTCCATTGCGTCTTCAGGGTGGATGGTACGCCGAACAACAGCTCCGACGGTGCTCTGATCTCGAGCTGTTCCGGTGCCGAGATCGCCCCATTATGCGAACTGGGTCGCTGGGGTGGCTGCGGGGCCGGTCTATTTTTGCGGTGCCTTAATGTGCCCGTGGTAGTCGAATTCGTTCCGGTTATCGACGTGCCGCCATTACCCTCTGCCGTTGTTTCCGGCAGTTTTTCCCGTATCTCCTCCTTCAGCTGTTGTATGTTCGTCTTCTGCGGAAACGAGGGATGCGGGCGCGTTACTGAGCGATCCCACTAGCCACACTGTAAAAAACTTTCCCCCTCTTTCCCCTTCCGCGCGGCGAGTAATATTTGCTTGCGCAGTGTATCGTGACAATCGGAAGCTAGCTGTGTTTCTAATTTTTATTTATCGAATAGAGTCTTGGTTAGGCTTTGATGAAGTCTTGGTTAAGACTTCCTCATTCCCTTTCCACGCGGCGAGTAATATCTGCTTGCGCAGTGTATCGTGACAATCCGAAGCATGCTGCGTTTCTAATTTTTATTTATTGAATGGAGCCTTAAATAGAATCTTGGTTAGGACTTGGTTAGGACTCCTTTCCCCTTCCACGCGACGAGTCATATTTGCTTGCGCAGTGTATCGTGACAATCCGAAGCATGCTGCGTTTCTAATTTTTATTTATTGAATGGAGTTTTGTAGATCTTTTAGAAAATGTTACTTGGTTAATATATTTATATTGCTCGTTTTTACTGTTGAATATTAATAGCAATTCTTGTTCTGGAAGTTATTTTATAGCTATCGAAACCAGTCTGGAGAGAAGATTATACTTAATAAGACGGATCTCTATCACGCATCATCTGTTTTCTGTTATTAACTGGCAATTCTGCGGGCATGGAATCAAGTGAAAGTCAAAGATAAGTGCTACCCACAGCAGGTTATAAAATAGATAAGTTGTAAGACACATATAAAGTGGAGAACCGCAAGAGTGATTCATGACGTGCAACTTTCCTGCTTGCGCGATGAATTTTAAATGCAGAACGTAGTTCGGTGGGTATTCTGGGAAGAGGAGTTGCAAAGGTCGCTAGTTGTCTTCTTGGTATCGGTATATTAAGAATTAACGTGATACGGAGGACAAATCGCATGAAAATCGTCATAATAGAGAAGAATCGCCTTTCGAAACTAACAACGTCGAGCTGAACGCATCCGAAAATAGTCGCGGACCGATGTTGCCAAATGCAAAAACCTCACCATGGTTCCGCAAACACCCGAACAACAGAAGGAAACATTTTTTTTATATTCTGCCTCGTCACTGAACCGTGTGACGTTACGTTGTACTCGTTTCACTGATCCCGATACGTTGCCGAACGAGAAAAAAAGAGCGCAACGAGGAAAGCGAAAAAAAAAGAAAAGGGTGGAAAAAAGACAGAACGTACCCGTCAGCAAAAAATTTTTCGCGGACCGATGCAGGCCCAGCTTCGAAAATCCGGTTCGCGTTACGGAACGTACGATTACAAGCTGAAAAGTCACGTTTCGGCAATGCAACGCCACTCGGCTTGTTTTGTTCAGAAAAAATGCAACTGTCCGTTGTACGGACGAGCGAGCCTCGAGAGAATCGCGTTTGCATCGAATTCGAGGCGATTAAACTCGAATTATATTCATGAATCGCTCATCGCATTCAGTTTGACGGTGTAATATGATTTTCAATCGCCGCGTTCGGGCGATACAGTATTTTGTAACGATCTAAAGACTAAGTTCACCAGTTTCATATGGTATAAGGAAATTAAAGGACCAATCGAAATGAAACATCTTGGTTTTCCAGTTTCCGCTTCATCGACACAAACTACCAAACAGATAAAGTGACTTTCCGACATTTGTTATGGAAACTCTAAGAGTCCACCGATTGAGACTTCGATTGCTTCATAATTCAATGTTTACTACTACTAAATAATATTACCGAATCAATCTGTTTACTAATTTCTCACAGATACAGTTCCCCATTGAATAATCCTACGAGAAGGAATCATAAATAAACCGATAACCAGTGATTATGTCCTATCAAACAGCTCCACTACTAAGAAAACGATGAGCGTCCACAGTGAAACGAATGCGGCGATGCGCTGGGAACAAAGGGCAGAGAATCAACGAGCAAACGAAAAATGCCGGGAGGGACCGGCCAGGTGGAAAGGTTGATGGATAGCCCGAAGATCGCTCGGCGAACGGAAACGTCGCGCCGTGGGGACGGGGGAGGAAACGTCGCGCGTCCTCCTCTCGGACCGCGAGTCGTGAAATTCGATTACCGGCGAGAAGAATGGACGTAAGGACCAGAGAAACGGAGGAACAAAAAGAGCAATTTGGGCGTGCGCGTCGACCGGCGGCGATTAATCGAATTTAATTAGCTAATTAAGGGAGCAGCGCCGAAAAGACGAGCGGGACGAGGTAACGGAGTGGCTCGTTAACGGATCCACGTATCGCGCTCGAGGCGCCCGAACAAAAACCATTAGCGTCCGCTCGAGCGATCAGGCTGAAAGCTTTCTCGAGTGTCGCCTGCCACCCCCCGCGCCGCCGTTCCCCTCGCCCGCTGCTATCCGCGCCAGCTCTATCCACCCCCTCCTGTTTTCTGTATACACGTATCGGTGCACGCGCTTCGCGAACAGGTGAGTCAAAGCGCGCGGGGCGAGGCACAAGCGTTACAATAACGGCTCTCCAATTAGCCACGATATTTACATTATGACGCGATCGGCTGAAAAGCCGTCAGAAGCGATCGAGCTTGCCGTGTCACACAGCCACCCTCGAGCCTCGTTTCGCCGCCCTCTTTCGCCCAAGTGTACGACCCTTGTCAGACACCCCGAACGGCGAACCGTTTCACGGCAATTCTTAACGGGATTGTTGCAATGCTCCTCCTCCTCCGACGCCTCGCGCCCGCTCCTCTTTTTCCCGCAACTTCACCCCTCCTTCTCTCGTGCCACGCTCCACCAGCGACACGTTGTTTTTCTGTTTTCGTTTGTACCGTTAACGCGCGATATCCGCGACGAGACGCGGCACGGCGAGTCCCCCACCCACCGTTTCACCTTCCGCAAGCTGTCACAGGTGAGAGAATCGGCGGGAGAGGAGTGTCACGCCGACTGGATGACGAGATCGCGTGACGATCGTCGTTAACCTCTTCCAGCCGATGTGCCCTCGGCGTGACGGGCTACCCCCGAACCGGTGGAATAGGTTTGTTCGAGGCGCGTTGGCGTTTCGAGATTTTCGAGGATCGAGGTTTGATCGTGTGCTTGGGGATTGATGTGTTGGGACTGGTTTTGAGGGAGTGCGGAGTTTCTGTTTGATGTTCTTTAAAGTGACGCGAACAGATCCGAGTCTTGATTACGATTTGAGAGTTGCGAGCTCATTTAAAAATTTCGATTGCATTTGCTTTAGGAATCTAACATAGATATTCGAGGAATTTACGTTTGTTCAGCGAGAAGTTTTTCAATGTTGTACTCGCTGAACCTTAGGCGGACTACTCGCGGCCTCTTTTCCTCAAAGTATTCTGAACGGATTTTCCTTCTGCAATGATGTGCGATTACTAAACTACACGGAAATCACAATATTCTTCGAAGTGGAAAAATATTCATCGAAACATTGCAAAGAATTTACCAACGACATCAACCGATACACTGTTCATCAACTTGCATTAAATACAAAGAATCTAAACGTTCCGTATTCGAAAATACTACACAAGCTTGTGACACGATCTGATCATATTGTCATTCTTCCTGAACCAACCCTCAAATTATCATACTCAACTAAAGAGACTTTTACATCCGAATCTAAATACTTTCACCAGAAGAAGAATGACAAGCATCGGATTCGAAGGTTGGTCATATTCGTCGCAGAGATTTCTTTCTTCGACAAAGTCCCAGTACCGTAACTAAATTCCTCGCGAAATCGATTAGCATTCAACAGGCACTAGCGATTTCACTTACCAAGGTATTGAGATCCTTATTGAGGTCCTCCAAGTTGGGACCAGTGCAATTGCGATTCTGTGCACGGGTGTTCGAGCCGCTGACCGACGCGAGAATCCTCTTTCTATGCGCCGGCTTTTGGATCTCCAGCACCGCCGCGAGCTCCACCTCCCACACGCACCTGACGCGGTCCATCTCGGTGTACAAGTGTTTCCTGAAGGTCTCCGCGTAATTGTCCAAGTGGATGCTCTTCAGCCACTCGTCCACCGATTGACTGGTGCAGCCGGTCCGTTTTTCCACCCGTTTGCTCAGCAGACCGACCGCATCCATAATCACGGCTCGCTCCTGGTCGCTGTTGATCCCCATCTCCTTCAGATCAGCTTCGTCCATGACTCCATTCTAGTCAGCAGAAGTTTCGAGTCAGGTTTGTCCTCCAAAAACAAGCAATCCCAGGTTTACAGTCCTCGCGAATAGTTCGCGAACTATGTTTGCTGGCACTGCGGATACGTTCGTGAACAGCGAGCAGCAAACAGCGTTTGCTTCGAAATTTGAGAGTTACTTTGTTTCGAAGTATTCGATCTACCACTAGTGAGTATCGATGTTCTACTGGAATGACTGAGAAAGTTACAGCTAATGCAAACTGCTGAAGTTTTCTAAGTATCTAGAAGGATCACAGCGAATCGAGGAATACCTGTAACTCCTGGCAAGCTGTTCGCCAGCTTCATTCTAGATACGACGCTGTTTCTGTTCACGAACAGTGCGCGACTTCTTCAGCCCAGTGTGGATCTAACGTAAGGAATTTCGGAAGGCCACAGTACTCACGATAAAGTCCAGGTCGTCGAAACCGTAACTGATGAACAGGGTCTCGTAATCCGCCAGACCTAACGTTGACAACCACTGACCGACGGAAGTCGAGACAATGGGACTGCTGCTGGTGTCTGAACTCAGACCTGCGTACAAATCAGACAGAACTGCCAAGTTAATTCATGAAAGACACCTTCTAACCACCCCTCCCACCTAAAACCCCTTTATTTGCTTGCTTCGGCGAATCAACGTGGAGAACGGTAAAGGACTAAGGTAGTTGGCTTTGGAAGTCTTGCATGAAGCGGTTAGGGACGTCTTCAGTAGCTATAGGAAGAAGGTTATGTTGTTTGGACCAAAATTTAGGTGTTTCGGCTTCCCTTGCTACCAACCCAATTTGTAAATGATAATAGGGAATGACGAATGGTGACTAACGAATAAAGGTTCTCCGTAGAAGTAACGAATAAGAGAGATAACAAATAACCGAATTAATTGATCGGTTATTGGTATTGAAATAAAGTTTCATTCGAATAATGCCCAACACTGTACCTAGCCTCGTCTGGAACTCCTTCTCGAGTTCGGTGACGAAAACCGACTCCCTGACGAGGCCGGTCCCGAAGGACGCCATGATCTCCGAGATCTTCGCCCATTCCTCCTGCTCGTCGAACGGGCTCATTATACTAAGCGATTTCTCGTCCCTCTCGCGGTCACGATCGGACAATCGGAACGGGACCTCTCCGTCCTCGATACGGTCGCCGCCTCCACCCTCGCCGCCGGCTCCCATTCCGCATGCGGATGGCCCGTAAACGTTCTTCAAGCGTCGCAACGTCCGAGGCCGCTCAGCTGTCACGGACCCTTTCAACAAACCTGCCGAAGTTACAACATGCACGTTACACGCTGCCCCAGTGAAAAGGAAACAAGTTCTACTTTCGAGTTGGTAAACAGCTCTCGATGCTTTTACTTTCTTTTTTTTTCTTATACGTTCATTTGAGAGTTTGGTAAGAACATTCTTTGTGTTATTAGTTTTATTTGATTAGAAAACTGCGTGAGGTACAATTGTTTTAGTTTTCTACGTTTTAACATGTTCCGTTAAATACCTTCAGATTGGTTTTTAAGAATTTGTACTCGACGTATGAGTACACGGTTTACTGAATTAATCAATTAAATATGAGGAAATTTCCTGTGTACTTTGTATCTATTTATTGTATTTGTTTCATTCTATTAGACAGAATAATTGCAAGGATTTAATTGTTATTAGATATTAATCTTTCCGAGCTGCATGTTAACCGTTAATTATACCAGTTACTTGCGATAATGTCCAGCGTAACGATTCGTCGTAATTACACGTCATTACGTGTTGTCAAGTTGTAATTAATTGCGAATCAGAATAATGATTCGCAACGCGTGAACGACGTTTGTCAATACACGGCACGATCGCGTGTAACATCGATATTACCGGGAGAACTTTTTTACCGATCTTCGAAGATATCGGTATCGTTACAATCAAAGTTGCTTGAGCAATCTGTTAAGAGCTCTCTAAAATTCGTTGATCCGGAAAGATTTAGTTCGTAAAGCAATCTCGAACGACCTCGAGAGATACATTCTGTAATTGGTAATGGTAAAATTCCTTGGAAAACAATCCGAGCAAAGTACCAATCGACTTGTTGACTGGCGAAACATTCCCGAAATTCGCGATCAAGCGAATGTCGGCTGCGAAGCTGGCCAGCAATCCCGGACGGTTTTCAACGCAAACACGTCGGCCGGGTACGTGGAATCAACCGACGGATATCCATAATGGATATGCGGCACGTACGAACGAATCCGCGGATACGTTGAATATTCATTACAGATTCGACATTGTTCGATGCCTCCACGAGATTAGTTCCCGGAAGATAATCAAGACCGACTCCCGACACCGATGTCGTTAAGCAATGACTCGTCGCCCTTAAGCGCGAATTTCACCCCCGTTGACTATCCCCGATAGGTTTGATATTAATTATTCAAACAAAAGGAAACAACATTGTTGTAAGTACTTACACGTAAATTCGTTCGAACAGATAAATGAGAATCGGCGGAATTCTCATCGATTAATGAACGCGTTCTGTAAAATAATATTGAGATATCAACCAAGTACTTCGATTTACTAGTATATTTGTAATTTGATGTATATCGTATCACGCTGTACGAAGTTAGTTTAGCATACATGATAATGTACGAATAAGAATTGTAGAAAATAATATTAAGATTATTATAACAAGAACGATCAACAATTATAATCGTTGACAAAGAAAGCGAACTTTCCTTCAACCCGAATCGCCACGAGCTTCACCAAAGAAATTTCATTTCTCCTAAAGATCCATAATCAACTAATTACCATTAGCATCATCTACCACGCGACTATCAAACTTTCCAATAACTTACAATCTGCTATAAAAAAAAAGTAATTTAATAACTTCCTCCGAACAGTACTCCTCAAACAACAACCCCAGCGCATTACTTAACGCGACACGCTGACACAGAATCGTAATCGGTATCGCGATTGCGGATTTACTCAAGAAATCCACAGGAACTCATTATCAATCCCCGATAAACTGTTCAACAACCGCCGGCAAACAACTCGCGCCAAGCGAACGGATCGAACCGCCTTGCCGCCGCGTCGATAAGAAAGAAAAGGAGAAAATTATAATTGAAGTGCAATCGAGCCGCGAATCCCGGCTCGCGTTTACATCATTAGTAAGCCGCAAACAAGCCCGTCGGCCGTGGATCGGCCACGACATTTCGCGGGTGGCGTTGCAGCCCTTAAACGTCCGCATCGTCACGCTCCGACAGGTGCAAATAATTCCCCCCATTGGCGGCGTTCTCCCATTCTTCGCTCTTTTCATCGTCTGGAGGCTTTGGTCCCCGAAGGGTGGTAGCCCTATCACGCACGCTGGGCGGGCGCGCGACACTAAAGACAATCCGTCGTTTTCAACCGGGCTGACAATCGACGCCTCGGTAATACGACGGCGGTGGCGGCGCGCGTTCGCCATGGAGGATTCTTTCATACGAATTTCACAAATGAGAATTCGCGATACCGCGCGCGCCGCGCCGCCCGGGCGCGAATGGCCGACGACGTCTGAAGGAGAGGGCGGCATGGGGTTGGCCTGGCGTGCAGGTGGGTGGACGAGCGAGCGAGCGAGCGAGATGGCGGGTGGGTTTTGCGACGCTTGTGCCCCGACACAGACGGAAGAAAAGAAAACGAAGGGAAGAGGAGCGACGGACCGGCGGAGGGTGGCTCCCGAAGAAAAAAGTACTACTTTAAGCAGCGGCTATGAACGCCTTTCAAAGAAGCTGTGTGTATCCTCCACGCACGGGTGCGCATGAGAGGGTGCCCGCGAGCGTGTACCCGCGTGTACGTGCATACGTCGTGAAAAGCTCATAAAAATATTAAACAGAGAGCGAGATGGAGGAAGGGAGAGTGGTAGGGTGGCAGAGGGATGGAGAGACGGTAGATCGAGGATACGAGCAACGTGGAGAGAAAGAGAGAGAGGGAGAGAGAGAGAATGAGTAGAGCAGAGTGGTGGGGGATGGAGGAGGCTCCCGCGCACGTTACAAGCAGCAAACGTACGTAATTTTAATTAAAGCTCCATGATGAAGGGCGTCGCCTGCTCGCGCGCACTCCAGCCGGCAGCGCTATATTATGTAGGCAGTTATTCAAGTCATATACACAAATTACATAAATCCTCGTCGTCGTCCCTTTCTACCGCTCTTTCCACCTTCTATCTGGCTTTCCCTTTCCTTCCAACCTCGCTTCTCTACTCTTCGCTCCTCTCGCCAGTTGCTAACCATCCCTGCTTGCGTTTTTTTCTCTTGTCCATCTTTTTTGCGTTTATTCTTTCCTTCTTCTTCTTCTTCTTCTTTTAGTTCGTTTTCTTTCTTTTTTGTGTCTTTCTCTCTCTCTCTCTCTCTTTTAATATACTTCCCCTTTCCTCTACTAGCTACCGAGAGTTTCTCTCGTTCCTCCCGTTGCCATTCTTTCTGTCGTCGCACGAGCGACCGCTGGCTTTCACGGCGTAATAGTTTCCCTCGCGAGGGAATCCGTTTATTCGCAGTAATTGGGAAGAGCTGCGACATTATGCGCTTTTTCTCTACTCCTCTATTTCGTCGCCGTTCCGACCGTCTCGCAAGAAAATGCACGCGTCGAACGCGTCCCCTTCCCTTTTATTTCATTTTCTTTTGTCGTCTCTTTTCTTTGACCTTTCCTCTGTGCACGATTCCCGGAGAACATTCGTTTCTTTCGTTTGTCGTTCTCGTCGTTGCGTGGAATAGCTTTCTTGCGGAACCGGGTTTTCGGGGCGATTGTTTGGCGAGACGGGGGATGAAGTGTTTTGGGAATAACGATTCGAAAAATATTGAAAGTGAACGATGCTTAGAAAAATGTATGTTACGCTAGAAAAATTGCCGTTATGCCAGAAAAATGTATACATTCATTTGATACCGACAATTCATTGTCGTACGATACAATCGAGGAAATCCTTCTTCTTTCAATTGAATGTCGAATTTCAATCGAGTCCAATTCACAGTATATTAATACTCACTGTGACAGCGTACAATATTTGATATGCGTATTTATCAAGTGAGAACGAAATGTGCACCTTTTCAATTCAAATTAACCGTGTCCAAGCAGGAAGATTAAAATATCCGAGACGTGACCGCTTAGAGCATAAAATCGTAATATCTCTTTTAGTCAATACCCAGAAAAGCTCTCGCTCCTCTTAACTTCTTATCCCGTGGTCCCCGACTGCTTCTAGTCGCGGTCCATTAAAGCTGGAAAATTTGCGGCAATGCCACGATCCTCGCCAGTCGTAAACATTAAAGTAATCCTTGCGTAAGTAAGTGTGTGCACCGCGGATTTCACCCACACGTCCCCCGCCGCGGCTGGAAGACCGGATTTCGTTGGATATTAAAAATCCTCGGTCATTAAGTCGCTCGTAAATGACGCGTTGTTACGATTTTCGAATCTGTCCGCTTGTGTCGTTTGGGAACGGTCATTAACTCGTTGCCGAGACGTTCGATCGGCGACGACAATTAAAATAATTTTCCCTCCATTCGATTATTATCGGGACACGAAATTAATTCGAAACATTGACGTTATAATTTACGACTGGGGCAAACGAACGTTAACGATCAAGGATAACTTATCGCCGAATATTCGATGGATGTGACGAGTGAGGATGATTGCGTAAGTGAAATGTCCGGAATTAAGAATAAGTATACCGATTCGCTGAACAAAGCATGAAGATGGAGATAAATTTTGATCTTTCGAGGTTGTTTTTGCAAAAACATCGATAGTGTTTTATAAACTTCTTACTGAACTTCTGTACCCGAAAGTTTGAATTATGTTGCTCTTGTAAATGATAGTAAATGATCTGAAGTAATGATAATATTTTGAATATTGACGTTGAATTCGTATTTTCATGTGCAATAATAGTATAAAGAATAAATATGAAATTTCATTTAAGAAAAACATTGATATGTAGGAATACAGTTAATAACTTCAGACAAAGGTATGTAATCTAATCTTGCAAATTAAGAAGCAAGACTTCCGAGAACTCATTGCTAAAGTGTTATTCAGGATGAGTAACAACGCGGAGGACGATTTAATGTTCGTGGGATGCTCTAGGTGTCATTGGGAGTGATTTCCATTCGAATGGAAAATTTCTCGGTGCTCATACGCGTAATAAAAGAATTTCTTCGAGGTTTTTCATTGGTCACGTCTAAAAATATATATTAGAAAGGCATAGGAAAATAGTTATTTAAAAAGTACATAGACAAAACACAGAAATATCAAAGAAATGTAGTTTACATGTTTAAAAAGAAACTTTAAA